TAAAAAAAAATAAAAAAAAATACTGCAATTGAGATATGATTCATGATTAGTGGGAATGATCATTTTTGCAATCACAGTTTTAAATTTCACTGAAACAAAACTATTAAAATTGTGATGGTGTGATATTTTTGGGGTCTTTACCAAAAAACTAATGTTCTTACATCTGCAGAACAAGATTTGTTATTAGGACAGGGCATCTCTGCATCTATGCAGAACTACAGTACTTTCTTATAATCCTGTTTTAACACATTTCACTTTTATCAAAAAAATGCAGCTTCTTACGATTTGGATTTCGTTAATATTTGGATTAAGTGTGCAGCCCTAACACACATACACACACACACACACACACACTCTCTCTCTCTCATCAAAGTACATCCACAGATTACTTTATAATGAAGCGCTGTACTTTCCCACTTTCTCTAAACTTGCTGTGTGCTTGAACTTGAATTGGTGACTTCCTTCGTTTCCCGGAAAGTTTCCCAGGAAAGTTTCTACGTCTTTTGTCATACTATACACTGCATTGCATTGAATCTGTACTGTCAGTGAAACATTTTTACATTTTAAACAACAAATGACATTATGATACCAAACTCCCATGGTATCTCAGCATGAGGTTACCTCTTCTGACTTTGGCCAGTAATTCCAAAGTATAAGAACCCACTAAACATAAAAACAGACAAAAAAAGACTGTGGACTGTAACGTTTACTGCCAATATTTTCCGTTAGCCCACACAGCGCAGTTGACTCCAGTGAACAATTTGACAAATCTTGATTTCATTAGCACACGTTCAACCTCACAGAATTTCATTGCATTAAACAAACATGCACAGACATGCAGCTACGTTTTGGGCTCAAAGAGGACACGACTCACTAAAAACCAGCCAAACAGCACATGCAATATAATTTTTGCCATATCTACCACAGTGCTAACAGTTAATGACCGTCAGGCCTCTATATAAAATCTAACAACCAGGTTTACTGCACACGTTGCACCTGAAATTGGTTTAATTGCGCAATAACCACAACTGGCTGTGCGTTTGCCCGTCATTAAAACAAATGCCTTGAGGTTAAACAAGCATGAGGGTAACTGGAATTAGGCCAGCGCAGTGTAATGTCTTATATTTCCAGTTGACAGAAGTCCAGTTGAATTGTTGTGATTTCGTGTAATTTAATCCAATTATATATAATGTGAGGTTAGCTACATGATGGTTATGATTAAAATCTGTTGCCTTTGATCTAACTAAATGGTATCCATGGCAACACATCAACAAAGAGAGGATGAGTGACATTTTCAAGTCACTCGGATTGAGTCGAACTTTCAGCTGTGATCATCTGCCTTGCTGACACTCCACTGAGCACGAAGTAAAACGTCATCATACACACGACTAAGTACACACACTGTGCCGTGACCGCTCGCCCGTGCGTTGATTGTCCTCTCGTTTCCACTCTGCTCATGTGTGGCAGTGGCGTGATACACATATGACACACGGCGCACAGCCACGTGTGCGCCGAATCATGTGTGTTTTCAAAAACGCTTATGCAAACGAGCCATTAAAGGGCACTGATGCGTGCATGGTGCTGCTGTTATCTTTGCTCTGTGTTAACAGTGATCAGTTTGCCCACACAGCGGCAAACAGGCGCCTTACCTCACACCCTCATCCAGCCAAAACGCATTTAAAAAGTACAGCATATACAGCTTATAACAAGCTTCTGAGCTGATGTGCTCACTGGGCTTGAAATCAGGGAGGACGGAGAAAGAAGTGAAAGGAAGAAGTGTATCTGAAAAGATGGAAGAGGAAGGATCAGGGAGGAAATTGCTGTGTGCAGATGGTATGTTCTGGGCCCAGAGGATATCATAATTTTGGGTTTAATTCACAAAAAAAGATGGAGTGAGATGGACCACCGATAACGAACTCTTTCTAGATTCTTTCGGTCGCCATCATTTTGGTCAGATACACTTTCCACTCTCTCAAATCTCCATCCTGCCACTCTCCCCCTTCATCCATTTCAATCTCCCCCTGTCATGATACGCGACATCTAAAACAGACTCTCGAAGCCACCTTATTAGTATGCAGCAATATGCAAATTGGCTTGATTTGTTAGTCTCTGTGTGTTTTATATCACCAGGTTTTCTCTCTCTCTCTCTTTCTCTGTGCCATGCTGTCGCTCTTTCCATCCCTCTCTCCTATTTTTCTCTCTTGGCAACATCTACACACACACAGACGAACTCAGTGAACTCATCTACTGTAGAATGTATCACAGCGCTCCATGTGTTCCTCTATCTGCGTGTTTCTGCAGATGTTTGTGCACCATATTGATCTCCTCTCACAGAGGTAATATGGCCCTTTAATGTCCAGTCACTCTTTGTTAGAATGTGCAGCACTGCTACATCTGTTATTCCGTTTTGATTTTTCAGGCGTAGCGACAGAGAAAAATAGGTACTAACAACGAGGGAGGCATCATCGCTGCCTGAGGCATCCAACAATAAGTCCTGCCTGAAAATAGAGATGGAGCCCTTGTATGTTGAGTGGAATTACAAAATGATTAGCTCTCCAGCGTTGGGATGTGGGATAATATAATAATTGAGTTCTGTGCTACAGGGGCAAACGAAACATTTTGCCATCATCTCCAGGTTTTAAGTTAGCCCCAGTTTGTGCCCTTTCATCTATTACCATTACATTTGAATCACAAAGCTAAGCACCCAATTTTCCCTAGAATACACGGGGATCTTTGAAAAACCCAGAAGGTCGTTAACAACACTTACTGCTGCGGCTGAAAGTGCTTCCAGCATCCTCAAAGACTCTTCTAACCATCTGGATGAACAAATATTCTGTCTGCTGCACGATGAAAGATTTTTAGCTTCTTTTCTCAAGTTGCGACCGTATTTCATAATCTAAACAAAGTGTTTAGCTCATTCGCTCACTCGTTTCTGCTCATTTTGGGCAACGTGAACCAAAATTTCAGCGATATATGTCTAGGTTACGTTCCAAAATGTTACCTTTTCACACAAACTAAAGCAGTATTTTGCTACCTGGATAGAAAATACAGCCAAAACTTGAGTGTTTTTTGGTCCATCCAGATGGTTCTATTCTGGGTTTTTAAAGACCACAGGGTATATATTTTTCATGATAATCAGATGATGAACTCGGTGACACAAATGTAGTAGCAATAACAAAGGGGCATAAACTAGGGCCAAGTTTTAGCATTACTACTAGAACTTCAGAAAACATGCTAACAGCTAAACTCAGTAGTTTACTGAATGATCATCCAGCACCATTAAAGGACCAGTGTGTAGGATTCAGTGGCATCTAGTGGTTAATTTACAAACTGCAACCATCTGAATACAGCTCAGCTTTCTGCAGCCTTATCCAGAGCCAGTATCTGGTTTGTCTGTTCTGGGCTA